TTTGTTAAGATTTATAACAATTCAATTTGTAAACTGAAATTGTGACAACGAATTAATCGATAAATCTGACCAAAACAAGATCTAATCTGAATATGTAAAAAACAACAATAGTACAATGACCCAAACAAATTCAGAATTCCAAACTGATCTCTCGATTCTCATGTGACCCAAATTCGAAACATATTTTACACACCTAAGCGAGATAGATATACAATAGAAAATTTGAAAGTTTCAATTAGTGTTCTAGAAATCGATTGGATATTAAATAAAATTACTTTAAAATAGAAAAAAAATCTAGGTTCAATTATTGTAGAAAAAATTTAAGACTTTGTTTCCATGCTTTTAGGTGTTCACCACATCGTTTGAAATTTATTTTACTACAAAACAAAAAAAAAGTATAGGGATCTAGCTAAACAAAATGAAATATATACACGAAAAGAATATGTACACAATATTTCCGTGTGTATATGTGAAGCGAATTACATATACCTTCTCTAACAAAGAATCTCAATGAAAGGAATCCTAATCTCCACTTTAGAGATCATATACTTGTATATATTATTTACACTGAAACAAATCTATACTATTCAGAAACCAACAAGATCCTTATGGATCTGATCGTGAAACCTATCGGAGCGGCGTACACTAGCAGCTCTTCTTGCGGTGTATCCGACGGTGGTGGGTCTAATCGACCTCTGCCTCACCATCTCAACGAACTCAGGATCATTAGAATGACCCTCGTACCTAATCCACTGAATCATTTGATGGTATTTAGGGAAAAACCTCATTTGGACTGACTTGTAGACGAAGTAAGGGATCAAAGCGAAGATCATCACGAAGAGAGTGGTGATCCAATACGAAGGTGCAGGAGCTAGGGCTTCGATGAAGACCATGTAAGCATCGGTAGAGAAACTTGGAGTCATAGCTCCATAGATCATGAGGAAGATGTACCAAAAGGCAATTGATCCCCAAATCACAATGTGTTGGACCCAAGTAAAGTAACTTATTGATAAAGCCATTTGAAGATTGACGACCCACACGACGCAAGTGTACATCGTTCCACCAAGGATTTCCCGGCCTGCGGTTTTGCCGTTTGGGTCGAAAAGCTGATGTTTTAGAGATTCCTTGCAGATGAAGAAAATGGCGAGCGCGCTTATGAATCCATTGAACATCCATCCTATGATTCTTTTCCAGCTGAATAAAATGTTTTGCACACCTTCTTGGTATAGCAATGGAAACTGCCAGGATAAAAAAACGGTAAGTCACTCTTGCGGGTAGAAGAAATTTATATATTTCAAGAATCCTAAGCCCTAAACCTACCTTGTAACAAAAGCGAGCTGAGACGTCTTGATCAAAGACTCCAAGGGCAATGACGGGGAGAGAAGAGAAAAAGACGTTGAAAAGAGAGAGGAACCAGTCGTTGTATGCAGGTTGTGCAGAGAAGGAAGCGTATGCTTCATATAAGAACACAGTGACTCCGAAAGTGATATTCTTGTAGAAGAAGTAACATATCTGCAAATCCGGTAAGAGAAAGATTGAGATGATTGATGCAATTAGAGAAATTTATTTCAGGGAAGAGTTTCAATCTTTTTTACCATGGAGGAGATTCTGCTGTAGCACCAATGACCATGGACTAGCAATAACCGCTCTAGGTATCGAAATTGGGCAATTGCGATATCGCTAGACATCACTGCTTGCATCCCTTCAACACCGCTTATTCCTACACCAATGTCTGCTTCTTGAAGCATTCCTACATCGTTTGCTCCATCGCCAATGGCTAATGTTGTCTTTCCAGTTCCGGACTTGACCAGACGTGTAACCTAGAAAACCCGAAAACAAATATCTTTTGTTAGAATCGAAATTAAAGATTTTAGAATGAGAAACAGAACAAAACATGAGAGTTGAAGATTGTACCAACGCTTTTTGTTTAGGTGATGATCTGCAACAAATCACAGAGGCACAACCAGTGGCAAGATCGAGAAACGTTTTCTTGATTTCATCCTCGAGGGCGTAAGTTAGCGATTTCCCGTCTATGATCAAGGCAAAGCCTTCAGAGCTTGCGCCTGATTCAGCGAGTAAGGCCGTTCCTTCTTCTATTTGCTTCACGACGCTTTCCCTTGATGCCAATTCGATTTCGTCTTTGATTCCAGATTTCTCTAAGGATTTAATATGTGGTGTCTCAAGATTGATGATGATTTGTTTCATCTCCTGTCTTAGTAAACTACTAGCAAATCTGCAAGAGAAGATTCTGAAATCAGTAACCAAGAAAACACACAAGAACATTCAAGATTCGGTCATTAGAGAAATATTCAGAGACACAAGAATATTCATTACCCAATGTTGATAGCTGTCTCCATTTTGTCTCCAGTCAGAACCCAAATCTTAATTCCTGCTTGAGCAAGTTTGTCGATACATTCTGGAACCTAAAGATCCATCAATCGAAAAACCGTTAATTCCGAAAACATTACAATGTTTAAAGAAAATCTAGTAGCTTTATAGTCTTTGATTAAAACCATACCCCATTCTGAAGTTTGTCCTCAACAGCAGTAGCACCAAGGAGAATGAGATTGCGTTCCATTTGATCCGTGATTTCGTCTATTAAAGCTTCACGTTCCTCGCTCACTGAAGCCTTAGCTTCATTGAAATTCTTGTTGAACTCTATGTACTCGTTCTCATCAACCTCGCGGTATGCAAGTATTAGAGTCCTTAGACCTGCATCTGCATATTGATTTACATGTTCTTGGGTTTTCGCCTCGAATTGACGACCGTTCTTTGCTAGTCTTTCGAACATTACACTAAAAAAAAAGTACATACAAAACTCAAAGTTAGTAAATATGTTCGAACCAAAAAGTCTCACAAAAAATGTGTTTAATGTTTTCAGTTCACTTACTTGTCAGCTCCTTTAGACAACAACAAAAGCTTCCCGTCATCGTCTCTTACAATAACCGACATTCTCTTCCTCGAGCTATTGAATTCAAGAACGTTTAGTAACCTATAAACCCTGCAAGAACGTAACAGAGGAAGATTTAAGCTCGGGGAATCGCAGAAATGAACTCAAATCGAAAAGAAGTAAGACAAAAAAATACGAACCTTTCCACTTTTTCCCCTGTTACAAGATCCAATTCGCGAAAGGAGATCCCGTTTTGCGTTCGGTTAAAGAACTCGAACCCAAGTTCTCGTGCTGCAACGACAAATGCAGCTTCATCTGGAGACTCAGCTTCATAAGAGACATTTCCGGTCTCTTCATCGGTTTCGGGTATTGCCGTGTGACACACGGCAAGCAATCTAAAAAACTTCTGCAACACGGCAGCCTGAGGTTGCCTAACCCAATTCCCATTCATAACCCTTTCATCCTCAAAGTTAAACCCTTTAACTTTAGGAGTAAACTGGTCCACAACAACATCCAAATCTTCATCAACCAAAGGAGAACCACCGCTTTTCATAGCCATAGCTCTCTCAACCTCGGTTATACCTCGTCCATAAGCCGTACCCGCGATAGAACACTTAATAAACTCCATCGAATTGCACGTCAAAGTCCCGGTTTTATCGGATAGAATTGTATCGACCATACCAAGCTCTTCGTTCAAATTGGAAGTCCGTGCTTGCGCGGGTTTATCTGTCTCTTCGTAGTACATATGAACGTCTCTATTGATGAAAATGCTCTGAAGAACTTTAACGATCTCAATAGAAACGTAAAGCGAAATCGGGATGAAGTAACTGTAGAGCATTACAGCGGTGAAGAAATGATAGATTGCAGCCATTGGAGCTCTTTCTGGATCAAATAAGATCACTGCATCGTCTGGTTTCAAGTACCATCTCTCTGTTCTTCCATTTGTGAGTTTATCCTCTCTTGTTTCGATTCCAAAGATGATTGATCCAATGAATGACATTAGAAAGACTAGACCGAACATTAAGTAGATGATCTTGTCCATTTTCCTCTCGATCCTACTTCTCTTTGATGGTGGATCAGTTGAATTCTGTATCACCTGTTTTCAATTCATCAAAAACATTTAGTATTTTTTTTTAGAAATCGAAACAATAATTTTTTTTTTTTTAAATGTTTAATTATATTATGAGTTTTGGGTTACATTGTTGGATAGTGGAAATTGGAAAGGAAAAAAACGCGCAGTTAGGTAAGTAACCAAATCGCGTGGACTTTAAGCTATCCAGAGTCGTTGTATTGGATTTTAACTACA